AACAACACTCATTTGCATGTCAAAATTAAAATTGCTCAAATTTGAAATGCAATTATTTTTGTGATCAAATAATAATTCATTGTGATCTGTCACGTACGACTTGTTTACCACTTCTGTGTCACTGAGAATGTTCTAGAACCGTACTGTATCTGGGTGGAATATTCTAGATTTTTAGAAAATGGTTGAATAGGTAATAGAACACTGTAGAAGGTAATGGAACATTCTAGAAATTTGTAGTAAATTCCAGACTCATTATGTATGCTGATGTAATGGTCTATTTATAGACAGTGTGGGTATATATAGGGGAGTTGTTCAGCACTGAGTTCAGATCGGAGATCTCGTTGAATTGTATTGGAGTTTAAGTATCTAGTTATTGGAGTAGTGGAGTTTTACTGCGTTATTGTACTTGATGTTTGCAGAGTATAATAATACCAGTACCAGTTGAAACCTCATCTGATGGCTCCGTGTTCGTATGTTATCATCGCCGCCAGGGAAGTCTTTTTGTTACTGTTGCCATTTTGGTATTTGAACCATCACACCTGTACTATACCAATTACGGTAATATTACGTTGCATGTGACAGATCACATAATTCGTTTGTACAAAATCCTAATTTTGAACCCAAATCCAAAAACCCCATTCAAAAATGGTTTTGTCCACCCACTGTGTTATTATTGCACTCTAGTTATGTGCTGTTTATAAATTAGTAATATGACAGTTATATATTGTTGACATTTGTTATCCTGTGTTGTCTATCGACACCATATAATAAGAAATATACAGAATGCAGTCAACCGAATAGAAACATCAGCCATGAAATTAACCGAAAACAGAGCACCATCTGCAATGTTATGAGAAATATCAGGAACAAGTCTCGTCCACAAAACAACCAAACAACGTCTCAAGATATTCAAACATATTTGATGCAAATCAGGGGAAGAGAGTGTGAGACATATTTGTTGTCATGGTAATGGTTTCGTTGATTTAAGACTTACTCTGCAGATAATGGAAAGATTGTTGTGAGAATCAAATAATCCATCTTCTAGGCACTGCTGACACTGATCTTGCCAATGACGCCATTTCATATCAAACTCTGCGACCGACTGTCTTCCCACTACGGTGAACATTGGCATCTTTCGTAACAACTCATCTGTCATACCATACAGCTAATATAAATAAAATATATAGAAATGTTTAGTAATATTGGCTGAATATTTTGATGACCTTCTCAGAATTCAGTTGAGGAAAAATTTGATGGGCAATTGCGTTCACACCACTTGACAACACGCGTTCAAGCCTGATTTTTTCTGTGCAAATTTAATAAAGAATTTTTTTTATTCATTGTCATTAATTCCAATCAAAAACTTCCAATTTTAATCAATATTTTTCATTGAAATGAGTGAGACAAAATTTTTTTTCATTCTGAAATTGGTTGCCTAGATATAGCAGTCATTGTGGAGTTAATGATTCCCCATTGTCAGTAATAATAGTAATAATAATAGAAATAATAAGTACAATGTTTCACTTACCAGATATGATGTGCAATGTAAACACAATGTGTTGTTAATATAACAAATATAAGGTTCCCTATTACCAAATACTAGCACTCTGACATGACGAATAAGTCTTGTTTGCACTATTTCTGGCATGTGTTCCTTAGAAATGAACATCCAGGAATACAAAAAATGATGTCTTATCATTTCATATTCTAAACTGTGAGGGCGATATATACTTACATCATTGACATCACGTTGTCTGTCAGGATGTATTGACAATAATTTACGAGCATCATCAATTCTTCCTTGCAGAACATAAATATAAATCTATTAAAAAAACAATACAATAATTGAGTGAATTGTCATTGCTAAAAATACCTATGATTTGGTTTTCAAATTGGCATTAGTGGATATAACATTTCGTGAAAGTCATTGTGATTCTCCACCATGGCCTATTATTTAAGTTTCAAGAAAGTTTGGTGTCTTATTTCCAGAGAAGTGTGACTTACAGCTGGCCAGTAACTTTCATGCGTATGCGGGCTGGATGAAGACATGACAGCAGTTGCTAACTCATCTCCCTGTGTGAAATGCCACGATACCCAATCTAATAACTGATTTAATATTACGCCACCTAATGGAAAAACAAAATTATAATTTAAATTTGAAAAAAGTATGTTGGAGTAGGAACTATATCGTATTTGCTCTATTAGTAGCGCATCTCAAAAAGAAGCACATGTGAACCAAAAAATTGCATGTGTTGTACACGGGATAATTAAAATATGACTTATTTTCCCAATAAAAACACACTTGTAAAGTAATAGAGAAAATACAGTACAGATATCATACCTCTAGAATTATCTAAATAAGTCAGTACAAAAAATCTTAGTTAATGGATATTTTTTTTGACCATTGTAAAAGGTATAACAAAGTAAAAACGGCTTCAGTGCAACTGCTTCTGAACAATTCTGAACATGTGACACACATGGTATCAACAACTCACCGGGTAGTACTTCAACAAATAATATTTCACAAAGACTCCATATCAATTCTATCATCGAAAACACTTGACACTGAGCATAGTAAATTTGTCTCTTCTCCTCATCTTCAGCAGCATCTAGTAAAAATTAAATACAACACACTGAGAATGACTTATTTGATGTGATGTGTATTGTGATGTGTTGACTTAGGAACACACAAAACATCAAAGAAACCAGAGCGCTTTCAAGTTTAACTTCTTGTTCATTCCTCCATTTTCAGTTACCCCAACGGCACTACTTTTTACATATCAATACACTCGGGTGATCAGGTAAAATAGGTAAGACCATTACAAAAGTATGTATTCTAACGCACACAATAAAGTAGTCCCAAAAACGTCACAGCAAGTTTGATCTCATGTGCCTGACAAATTTACAAGCCATTAAACATTACAGGCTGTAATATTTGCTGTGTCCAGTCGCTTCATTAAAGTAAAACACAGGACGATTTGCTTTATAATATCTTGCACCGATTTGAATAAAAACAATTAATTCCCACACACCTCTGAACACACCTCATTAAAAGTAAATTAGTGAGATTGGGAAAGCTCTTCAGAGCTCCCTGGAGCTCTGCGAAAGACAAAGTAGCTCTACAGAGCTCCAGGGATATCTGGCCAGAACATTCTTAATTGAAAATTATGTATTTGATATTTTTAAAATGCCTATTGCCGATAGAGGGTGTTATGGATTTTGGTCGTCTTTTGAAAGGCATATAACAGTGTAGTTGGATATAGTTGATGGATAACAAACTTTTCTCCAAGTTTGTGAAAGAAATCAGATTTACATGTGATGGCCAATATTTTGTTTGAATGTTTCTAACTGTGTCATAGATTTCAGCACAGTTCGAGTTGAAGACGTAGAAGTGATTCTAAGTTGTTGTTGAATGTTAATTTATTTGATTAGTCGAATGTCTCAGTGAGGCAGCATCTATTTGCTTGAGTTTCCTGTGTTGCTGTCTAGTTTGACGCAGTTATTTGATATACCGGTAAATGATCCACAAGGAGTCACATGACCAATGGGTCAATGCCATTTCTTACCAATACGCTGTGTTAAAGAATACAAATGCATGAAAACAAAAGTTAATTAAGTAAAAGTTGAACAAAGTATGAGGTCTTGAACTAGTGCATTCTTGTTGATGTGCTTATTTTCACAATCCTGTTCATTTTTTAGTGTTTTTTGTATAAAATACATGTATGGTGTTTTGTACTGAAGTGTGTGATTGGTTTTATTTTGTTGAATTAGTGTAGTTTCTAATTAGAAACAGGGTGTTTTTTGTTATTGTAGATCCAAAGTACTGCGTTCATTCAATCATCTCGTAACATATTACAAAAAGTCATACTTACCACCTTTTAGCTGTAGCTCAAGTACACAAGCTCTCTGTACTGACCGATAATGACGACTGAATTTCACCAGCCTATATAAGCAACAAGACTCAATGTCACATACATTTCAGTTTAAGTATAATCATAGTAAGAATTTCAGCATGACATTAATTTATAAGTACAAGATGGGGTAAATTCATTATTGAAAAATCCTGACAAAATTAGCCAAATCTTGCTACATTAGTTAAACAAATCACTGTTTTTTGTTAATTTGCAAGCAGTTGTTTTAAAAACAATGTTGAATGTTTCTGATTCATTTTCACTGTTCCTAAACTTCTCCCTGACTGATGAAGAAATTTACGAGGGTAACTTACTGTGGTTTTCTGACTGTGTCAGCTTGCTCTGGGTTATGACTTTGTAAAGATATAAAAACATCTAGAAATGAAAAACGATAGAATTAAAGTTGGATCATGGGCTTCATTTGGTGTGCATCATTTTTATCTTTGGATGTTGGGGTGCTGTTTTTAAAATTATAATAATCCATGTAAAAATGCACAGAAAATAATGATGGGGTAAACACTCCACTTCATTTGTACAGTAATATAAGCACATATATATCCAGTGTCCTTTGATTTCCTGCTGCGAATTTTTTGTAACACCACCCTATGTAATTTTTTTATCCTATTCACACCAATGTTTGCCATGCCTTATGGGATTGACAGGGACTTTCATGCAAAAACAGAAATACCACTAAAGCTTACTTCAAAAGGAGGTTGCCCCAGATAGCGCAATCAAACTGTTCTTTTTAGAGGTATGCTGAGAATTCTCAGTATTAAGTCATACCGGTAGTATGTGGTTTCTTGTTTCTTTCTTGTCTAGTTTCTATAGTTTGACATATTACAAAAAGCTGAATTAATAAATTACTAATCTTGCATCAAACATTTTACGATTGTATTTTATTGTTATGACAACAGCAGGACAGAACTTTTTTTTCAAAATTTTGAATACCCTAATAGAGTTGCAGATGTAACCAGTATTGATCGGGTGGGGTGGGGGTGGGGGCAAAAATAACAGAAAGGTTAAAAAGCTAATCATTACTCACTGTGTGATTCGTTGACAAGTTTTCTTGTAACAGGATTGTGCATATCAATATCCCATTTCACTATATGAATACTGGGAGGTGTGGTTAGATCACTGCTCTCATCTAGTGTTATAAGGAAAATAAAATAATAACAACCAGCTTGAGTGAAAACAATTCAGATTCACTATTATTACATACTGTAAAACACTTATTTTTTTGCTCGGAATTAATTTTCGCTGAAGGAATGATTTAGTGAAAATAACTCCAGCGAATATACCTTTTTAAATTCAACTTGTCAAAAATCAGGGAAAATAAATTTCATACAAAACACCTAAAAAGTCTTTTCAGTGAAAATCACCTCCAGCTAAAATAAAGTATTCTACAGTAATTATAAAGCATGAGTCATTAAATAAATATGGATTTTCATCTTTGTATAGTTAACAGATTTTCATAATCAAGAATGCCATGTAGATGCATGTCAGTAACAACAAATAAGTTGAACTGTGTAAATCATCAAGGTTGTCACAATTTGAACTTCACTGACTGAGAATCAAATTGATTTATTAAAGATTCTACACGTGATTCATTTAAAACCATCTCAAGTTCTGTATTGCAGGTATCAATTGACTACATTCAACAAATGTACATTCTCGCGTCTGCTACTCGTGTAGTTCTCTGAATATATTTATAATTTATTTTTTGTACACCAATACTGAACATTACTGCTTATTGAATACTGGCATATTTTAAAAATCCATTGATTGAATTATCCTCACAGTTTGTAATAATTTCTAACCTTGTTTAGGTCTTCTCACTCCTGCATGAACCAAGACTTGGTTTCCCAAACCCCACTGTGATGCCAAGCCAAACTTACTACCAGCGATATCTGGCACAACCTAAATGCAGGAAACACAAATGACGAGAGTATCAGTTATAAATGCAAATGTAACATTTTTCCCATGATGCAATGTAGGAGTGGAAATATTCTAAAAAGGTGTGGATTTGGATACCAGTATATTTTAACATGTACCACAATTATTGCAATATCACTGATTTATTTTACCAACAGCTTTCTAATGTATCAAAGCAATTGCTATACATTTACCTACCACAAGTTTATCAACATTAACCTAAATATTATCTTTGTTCAAAGAAATGTGATAACGACAGTAATAATTTCAATAATTCATTAATGACTGGCTTGGTCTTTGAAAATTGGGGCATCATCAGAGCATGGGTCTTATTTAGGAACTTGTACCAGAGCAACTGCACTAGTCATAAAGGAAAATTAACAGTTCCCTACTCCTCGTGAAAGTTACCCGCTACGAAATCCACTTACCGCGAAAGCCACCCATCAAGAAGCTACTAGTGTGATGTATTTCCGTGTTTTTTGAGTGTTGCTTGGTTTTGATTTTTGTGAATGCAAACACATTTTACCATTGGGCTAGGGAGATGCCCCATACATTGTCTATAAAGGTGTCGCCAGACTTGAATTCGTGATCATTCATTACAATACCTCGGATGGACAGCAGGTGTAGCAAAGATTTGGTGTTACCATGTGGCGTGTAAAACAATTTGGCGCTGCATGTGTTTCATCGCCCAGGGCAATTTTTTGACAGTTTTTAAAGTTGTTTTTTAAATATTTCGGCATCATTTTTTCAGAAATTTCAATCTTTCCTGATGCCTAAAATAGTCTATTTTTTATTTCCAGAGTATGCTTATTGTGACTAGCATGAATGGGTAAGCTTCGTTGCAACAATGAGCTGTTATCACTGTAAACAATGTTAAATTATTCTTCTAATGCTCAGTTTATCTTTTGAAAATAACCATTTTTTGATTTTAAAAAAATCATGCAGTTTTCTCATCTAAATCCGAGTTGCGTTCAATAACATTAACATATTTAAATGAACTATGGTAATTTAAACAAGTTGACATCATTCAGTATTTTGATTGGTTAATTTGCTTACGATGGGCTTAAGTTAAATTTTATTTGCATTTCACAACAATTTAACGAATTTATTTTTTGTACGTTATTATAAATCACTACTGAGTAATAATCAACAATTGTGAAATGCAGCATGACCGGATTGCGCAACCGTGATCATTTGCTGCTACGCAATGCAATTATGTTCGTTTTTATTTGAAACTTTGTTTAGCAATAAAATTAAAAAACAAGCAGCCTCTCGGCTGAGATAGCTCCGCTGTTAGCAATGCACATTTCAATTAAAGAACAGAAGATATCATTAGAAAATGAACAATATGTATAGTATCAAGCAATGGGACTTGCTGTTTTCAACAAGAATTCAAAAATATCACTTTTTACGAAAAATTACAAAAATATTCACCAAAATTAGAGAATTAAAGATATCATTACAAAATGAACAAACCTGAGAGAGGTCCACATGTAGTACCTATATATGTAATATCAAAAGCAACTGGACTTGCGGTTTTAACCAAAGTCGAAAATATCACTTTTTACAAAATGGC